CCAGGTCCAGGACTCAGACCACAGCAGACCAAGTGAGATTCAAGCACCTTAACCATTATACCACCACTGGCCCCAAGAAAAACTTTAAAATTAAAAAAAAACACTGTACACTGAAAAAGTGCAGACTAAAAAATCAGATGTCCTAGGTTTGAACTCTAGCTCCAACTACTAGATATCTGTGAAATTCTGAGAAAGTTACTCCATGATTCAGTTACATGATCTGTTAAGGAAGAATAAATTAGTACCTACCTCACAAGGTTCTTGTGAGGTTTAAGGGATAATATATGTAAAACATTTAGAACTAAGTGCCTGGGACATATCAAATGCTATGTAAGTAGCTGCTATTACTGCTATTGCTTTGTAATAACTAATAAAACAATTACAGGTAAGAAAAAAGATCAACAAAAGAAAAAATTAAAATACAGATATTAATGACTTATATAGGAGCAGAAAAAAGCTATATATACAAAAATTAATCTTAATAACATAATGTTGAGTAAAAAAAAAAAAAAAACTAAGTCCAGTCCAGCCTCTGTTGTGCAGGGATAATGTTAGCCACAGAGTGCTAGAAGTCATGTAATGATCCTGGTTTGTATCTTGAGTCAGCCTAAAAACTATGCTGAGCATGCTGCAGACACCCAGAATCTGAAGGGTTGGGGAAAGAGGACTACAGTATGACAAGACCCTATTAAGGGTGTTTTCTCTCTAAATATGTGTTTGTGTGTGTGTCTCATACATACACATGTGCTCTTCTATCACAGAAAAAAAGCAAGTCCCAGAAAATTATCAGTATAAACAATGATGATACTCCCATTTTTAAATAGGGACCAAAACAAATAAAACTAAAAGCCCATTGTTTATTCATACATAAGACACAATTTTTTTAAAGGTAAGATAAATACAAACCCTGGGTCAGCGATTATCTGTGGAAAACTAGGAAAAACATGGGATATGGCATATACGAATACAGAAGTTACCCCTGGGAGCCAAGCAGGTGGCATGGTGGCACGCTGAACTCTCAACTATCATTGGTGTTCCAGACCTGGCAGTTTGAAAATCACTCTGGGCGTGTGTGTATGTGTGTGTGTGTGTGTGTGTGTGTACATGCCCAAAGTCCCAGGAGGAGAGTGGAGAAAAGAAGATTGATGCTTGGCCATACACCCTGGGGAAGTGATTTCCTTCTTACTGACGCTGTTTTCCTCTGGCTAGCACATGAGCCCTACAGCAAAAAACTACTTAAAAAAAAAAAAAAAAGGCCCCCTTAGCTGTGATTTCACTTTCCACAGTTGGAGTTATTTAAACTTTGGTAAACCAAAGTTTAAAAATATTAAATGGAAAATTCTAAAAATAAACAATTAATTTTAAATTGTGCATCACTCTGAGTAGAGTGATACAAATCTCATACCACATTGTTTTGTCCTGCCCAGGACATGAATCTTCCCTTTACCCAGCATTCCACACTGTCTCCATTACCCACCAGTTAGTCACTTAGTAGCTATTTCAGTTATCAGTGGTTTCAGGTTATCTGCAATTTCAGACATTCACTGGGGGCCTTAGAATGTATCCTCCATGGGTAAGGAGGGGGACTACTGTATATGTAAGTCACTAATAAAGTCCAGGTCTTAGGTTGAGTACAGTGCAATAGAAATGTAAATTAGTATAACTACTTTGAGGAAAGAATTATCCACAGTATTTTCTTTTTGCTTTTAATTTGCTAAAAGGCACATGTGCTACAGGTGGGAGGAGGAAAAGCACATCTGATAGGTTATAATCACGTCATAATTCTTTCTCCTCTATTTCTCCCTCCTTTTAGAATTGTGGGCCCATGTGTTCACGCTCCCCATCTGATTCTCAAGCTGTAAGATCAAGAACTCAGTCTGCACAGTTGGCCATGTGGGATCCAGTCACCTTAACCACTAGGCCAAGGGCTAGCCAAATTTGGCATTTTCTAATAGGGTTTAAGAATCATTTTATGGGCTGGCCAGTGGCATGGTGGTTAAGGTGACTGGATCTCACATGGCCAACAATGCCATGTTGGTCCAAGCAGAAAGGCACCACTGTACAATGGCTGAAGCTGCATGGGAGGCCCAGATTAAGTTCCTGGCAAGGCATCGGCCATATTCCAATAGTCCTAGGTGATTGGAGGCTGAGGCAGGAGGATCACAAGATAGCAAGTCTCTCTCAAAAATACCTCTCTCGGGAACAGCAGTTAGCATAATGGCTATGTCGCTGGACTCCCATAGTCGACCGCGGTATGAGTCCCGGACCCGGTGGCTTAAACTCACACTGGGTGCGTGTGCATGCATGCCCAAGATCCCGAGAGGAGAATGGAGAAGGGATTGCAGCATGGCCATCTCCCCTGGGGAGTGATTTCTCGCTTTCTGTCTCTGTCTTTCTCTGTCTGGAGAGCACACGCACCCTATAGCAAAAACCTCTCCAAAAAAAAAAAAAAATACCTCTCTCGGGACCTGCAGTGGGCGTAATGGCTATATTACTGGACTCTCATGTAGTCGACCGCAGTTCGAGTCCCAGACCCGGTGGCTTAAACTCACGCCAGGCATGTGTGCATGCATGCCCAAGATCCTGAGAGGAGAATGGAGGAAAAGGGATTGTGGCGTGGCCATCCCCCCTGGGGGGTGATTTTTTGCTTTCTGTCTCTCTGTCTCTCTCTCTCTCTCTGTCTGGCGGGTGCACGCACCCTATAGCAAAAGCCTCTCCAAAAAAAAAAAATACCCCCCTCTCTCTCTCCTTCCATGTTCTCTCTCTCACTAAAAAAAGGACCAATAGAAAAGTTCAAGTCCCTGGGAGCTTGAAAAACATGCTGAGCACTTCTGTGTGCAAGACCAAGATCCCGAATAGAGGGAAAAACAGAGAAAGGACTGCAGTGTGACCATGCCCCATAGGGGATGCTTTGTCACTTTCTTTCTCTCCTCTCTCTCTCTCTCTCTCTGGCAAGTACATACACTCTCTGGCAAATTAAAAAAAAAAAAAAAAAAAGGGAGAGGTGGAGGAGAACCAGCAGATAGTGTAATGGCTATGTCACTGGACTCTCACGTAGCCAACCAGGGTTCATATTCCTGAACCCGGAGGCTTAAAACTCATACCAGGTGCGTGTGCGTGCATGCCTAAAATCCCCAGAGGAAAATAGAGGAGAAGAGATTGTGGCATAGACATCTTCCCCTCTGGGAGGAGGGGGAGGGGATGACTACTCACTTTCTGTCTCTCCAGAGAGTGTACATACCCTATAGCAAAAATCTCTCTTAAAAAAAATCACTTTATAACTCAATAAATATACTCTTGGGTATATGAAGAAAAAAATAAAAAAGGAATCTTGGAGCCAGCAGGTGACTTAGTAGTTATGGCACTGGATTCCCACATGACCAACTGGCCAGACCCGGCAGCTTGAAAATCATGCTGGGTATATGTATGTACATGCCCAAAATTCCAAGAGAAAATGAAAAAGGAGGAACTGTAGCATGGCCACTCCTCCTGGGGGACGATTTCTCAATTTCCTTCTTACTTTCTCTGTTTCTTTCCAGCAAGCACATGTGCCCTAAGGCAAAAACTTTAAAGAAAAAAAACTTTCTCATATCCACCAGTAAATATATTCAAGAATGTTCTTCAAAACATTGTTTTAACAGGAAAAACTAGAAACAACTCCCTAACAACAGACAAACTGATAAAGTATGACATATTCTATTATATGATAAAGGAGTAAAATGAATACACTATAACCATGTAAAGTAAGAATAAGGAATACATTATAACTATGCAAAGTAAGAATAAATTTTGGGGCTAGCAGGAAGCATGGTGGTTAAGGCACTGGACTCCCATGTGGCTGACTGTGGTTCAAGTCCTGGACTGGTGGCTTGCTTGCTTTCTCTCTCTCTCTCTCTCTCTCTCTCTCTCTCTCACTCTGTGTGTGTGTGTGTGTATGTGTGTGTGTTTTTCTCTCTGGTGAGTGCATGTGCCCTTTAGCAAATTTTAAATAATAATAATAAATAAAATTTATCTTTTAAAAATATATTTAAAATAGAATTAATCTCAGCAACAGAGGTAGGGAAAAAACAGCAAGTCACAGAAAATATACAATTTCATTTATAAAACTCTCAAATACCTATACTATTTAGAAATATAAATATATGTTAAAACTACATAGAAAACCAAAGGAAAGATAAGCACAAATTCTTAAATTATTATTTATTTACTTTTATTATTATTATTAATTTTTTCCCATAGATTATGTACATTCACCAGAGAAAGAGAAAAAGAGAGAGAAGAGGAAAGTGAGAAAGCAAGCCAGCACATTTGGGATTCAAACTGCTGTCAGTCATGTGGGAGTCCAGTGCCTTAACCACCACGCCACTGCTGGCCCCTATAAGCACAAATTAGAAATAATGGTTACTTGGGGCCAGGCGTAACGGCTAAGGTGCTGGACTACCACAGGGCCCACCATAGTTCAAGCCCTGGACTCGGAAGCTTAAAAATCACACATTTGTGTGCCCACAATCCCAGGAGGAGAATGAAAAGGAAGGAACTGTGGCATAGTCATGCCCCCAAGGGAGCTTTCTCACTTTCCCTGTCTCTGTCTCTCTCTGGCAAGTGCACACACCCCATGGAAAAAAAGAAGAGATAAGCTTAGTATTTCTATTTTTTGTAAAGAATTATTTTATTTAATTTTATTTATCCATTAATTTATTTTAATTTGACTATAGAGAGACACAGAGAGAGGGGGCAAGAGAAGTGAGAAAGCAAGACACCAGGTTTGGGACTCAAACCATGATCAGCCATGTGAGGGTGTCCAGCGCCTTAACCACCACGCCACCTGCTGGTCCCCAAGCTTAGTATTTCAAACCTTTGGCATTATTTGGGTTCCTTCCTTGTATATGCAGTAACTCTACAAGAACACAGAATTTTTTTTATAGAAAGAAATTTCATTCCATTAATAACTTACAGAACAACTTTTTAATGTCTCAAAGTTCACCATAATGGCTGCTTACCAGATTGAAGATGCCAGTAATATATTAGTGTTGTTTGCAAGAAACCTCAGTGGAGGTTCTGCAAGCAGTATACAGGATAATATCCCACCACCAAAACAGTGGAGCATAGCACTAAACCAGCTTGAAATGGGATTCTTCCATGCCACTGCTGCTGCTCCTGAAATTGCATAGTAAAAACATGGTCTGAGATAGTTACACATTTATTAGGCCCAAAGCACCTGATGGATTAAAAAAAGAAAAAAAAAACTTGGGAACCAGCAGTTAGCGTAATGGCTATGTTGCTGAACTCCCATGTAGTCGACCGCGGTTCGCGTCCCAGACCCGGTGGCTTAAAATTCACACTGGGTGCGTGTGCATGCGTGCCCAAGGTCCCGAGAGGAGAACGGAGAAGGAATTGCGGCGTGACCACCCCCCCTGGGGGATGATTTCTCGCTTTCTGTCTCTAGGTCTCTGTCTGTCTGGCAAGCACACACGCCCTATAGTGAAAACTTCTCAAAAAAAAAAAAAAATTCTTATTTTCAATGACTTACTATTAATAGTCACAATTATGCCAATCTCAATAATTTAAAAATGTATCTTTTTGTTCTTCAGAGCATAACTAGAAACATTTTATTAATGAGTGATTCTGGCACCTTTGACACTTTCAAAAATACTGTTTAGACTCTCATTGTCAGTTTCTTAGTAACAGATTATGATAGTCAATCCTCCCACTTACTGTCTCCTTTTACCCCAAACCCCACTGTAAGAACCCCCAGGCAATATGTCTAAGTGATATATTAAAAGAAAAATGTATAATCATAAGTACTTCAGAAAATAAAAGCTGAAATAAATTAATTTTCCAACACTACAAGCTAGCAATAGAGTAACAGAATAAATCCAAAAGTAAGAAGCTGATAAAGAACAAATATTTCAGCAACTCAGAATGAGTCCAACCAAGTTACTTATTAATTACAGGGGGAAATAATACCTTTATAGAGTAGAGAAACCTTGCAGACATCATTGTAAACAACATCAGGAGACGCCTGATATTATCACAGAGACCACATCAACATTTCTGAGGCACTTCTAACAAGATTCTAATTGGGACTTGTCTAATCAAACAAAGCAAACTTGAGAGCTATTCTGCAAAATAAATAAAATATCAACAATAACAACAACAAAACCCCAAGCCTCTACTTTTAAAATGTCAAGGTCAAGAAACGCACAATAGGACTAATAAGTGTTCCCAATTATATGACATTAAAGAAACAACAACTGAATGTGATACATATCCTATATCTTATCCTAAAACAGGTAAAGAAAATAATTTAAAAGGGGCTTATTGAACAACTAACTGATGAAATCTAAATACGGACTGTGGCTTAGATTACAGTATCATCACCATTAAACTTCCTGATTTTGAGAACTGTTATTAGAATATACACACTTACGTAATTAAAAGTTACTGGGTGCTCTGCATCTTTGATGACATCTTCACAAGAACATGTCCCTTTTAACAAAGGATCTTTTTTGTCTCTCCAGAAGAAAAGAGGAAACACAGGAAGCACCTGGTGCAGAGCCCCAATTCCTACTTCACGGATGTGAAGTGCCCAGATGCTATAAAATCACCCAGTCTATCACCATGCGTATATGGCAGTTTCGTGTGCTGACTGCTCCACTGATCTCTGCCAGCCTACAGGAGGAAAAGTGAGGCTTACTAGGATGTTTCTTCAGGAGGAAGCAGCACTAGAAGCAACCTGAATCAAGAGGAGTGGGAATCCAACCAGTAAAAAGATTTTTGGATGAAAAATCAAAATGACTCGGCAAAATGCCCCCAGTTTATACCTGAGTAGTTCTAAACATATGCATAACTCTAAAAATTCAGACAGAAAGCTAAAGTAAACAGAGAAAAATGTATTCAATTGGTGAATCTGTATAAAGAGTACATGGGGGGGAGGGGACCAGCAGTTAGCATAATGGCTATATTGCTGGACTCCCATGTAGTCGACCGGGGTTCGCGTCCCGGACAAACTCACGCCAGGTGCGTGTGTGTGCATGCCCAAGATCCCAAGAGGAGAATGGAGGAGAAGGGATTGCAGTGTGGCCATCCCCCCGGGGGGTGATTTCTCGCTTTCTGTCTCTCTGTCTCTCTCTGTCTGGTGAGTGCACGTGCCCTATGGCAAAAACCTCTCAAAAAATAATAATAATAATAATAATCATCATCATCATCATCCATCCTGGGGCTGGCAGGTGGTGTAGTGGTTAAGGGCATTGGACTCCCACATGGCTGACCGTGGTTCGAGTCCCAGATCTAGCATTTTGCTTTCTCTCTCTCTCTCTCTGTTCCCTTCTCTGGTCAAATTTAAAATAAATAATTTTTGATTGAATAAAATAATTTTTAATAAATAAATAATCCATCCTAAACTAAAAAAATTGAAAAAAAGAGAGCTTCCCAATCTGTTTTACCTAAACAGCTTAACCCTGATACTCAAATTGGAACAATAAAACAACCTTATAAGCTAATCCCTAGTATAAAAATAAAGTTTTAAATAAAGTATTAGCAAATCACAATCCTTAATGAGATAAAGTTATATATCAAGTAAGTAGCTTATTCCAAGAGTAAAATTATTCATAATTGTTTAAAACATAAAAATACAATTACAAACAGCTGAATCTCACATGGCTGCCTCCAGTTTGAGTCCTAGACTTGATATCTTGAAAAATCACACACATTTGCCTACATGCCTAAAATCCCAAGAGGAGAATAGAAAAGAAGGGACTAAGGTATGACCATGCCCCATGGGAGGAGGGATATTTCACTTTTACTCTCTCCCTCTCTCTTTAGAGAGAGTGCACACACCCTGTAGAAATTTAAGAAGGAAAAAAAAAGAGAGAGAAAGAGAGAAAGTATGCAACTCAACAGATTAGGGAGGGAGGAATAGCACATAAGAAAATTTGTGGCCTTCTCCACCAAGATGGTGTAAAGATATAAAGACATCCTAGAATGTTAGGAATAAAATATAACAACCTTAAAAGTGTGACTCCTAAAAGCCTGGAGCAAACATCACATTTGATAAAAGGTGAGAAGCATTGTCATTAATATCAGGAGTAAGGGGGCCGGCAGGTGGCGTGGTGGTTGGGGGTGCTGGATTCCCACATGGCCGACCACAGTTCAAGTCCTGAACCTGGCAGCTTGCTTTCTCACTTTCCCTTTCTCTCTCTCTGTCTCTGTCTGGTGGAATTAAAATAATAATAATAATAATAAATGAAGTTATATAAATAAATAATTCTTTAAAAATACATATATCAGAAGTAAGACAAAGTCGCTCACCACCACAACTCAACACCTACATTTTTTACCAACACTCTTCAATACAGCAATAAGGGTTTTTGGCTACAAGAAACTAAAACCAACTATAACAAACTTAAGCCAAAAGAACTCATTGGTAAGACTTTCATAGTTCACAGAAGAACAAGAGGTTAAAGTTAACAAGCAGGAACTAAGGACACTCCACAAGGGTATGCAAGAAGAATGTTGGGTCTTCATAAACTATATGGTAAATGTATGGTTTTAAAAAGTTTATGAATGGGGGCCAGCATGTGGCACAGTGGTTAAGACACTGGACTCCCAAATGGTCAACCATGATTCAAGTCCTCAACTCAGCAGCTTGAAACTCTCACTGGGCATGTATGTGGGGGGGGGTGCCCAAAATCCCAAGAGAATAGAAGAGAAGAGATTGTACTGTGGCCATCCCTGCTGGTGGGTGATTTCTCATTTTCTGTCTCTCTGTCTCTCCAGCAAGCACACACACACGCTATAGCTTAAAAAAAATAAAAAAATAAAAAAAAAAAAAACCTACACAAGACTCTTAATCTCTTTTTGCACCAAAATAAACTCATACTTTTATCCGATTTTCCACAAACTTTCTGAAGTCTCTCATAATGGTAGTAGAGCAGAACTAATTCAATGAGTCCAAATCAGCTGAGATCTTGGAGTTCCAACTGTTCTTTCCAGTCATGCACTATTAAGATCAAAAAATTACAAAAGAACATCTATCCCACACAGCAATAGAATGAGAACGTCTATTTTTTAGAATTATAAAGATATGTTCAAAAGAATATAAATCAGTATTTTTTAAATCTTCTGCATAGGAAAGCCCTTCCTAAAATAATACAAAAATCTCAGGAGTTAGAAAAGAGAAAAAAATTCACAGATTTGTCTACAGAAAAAGTAAATGGATTTAACCACCAAAACTTTAAAACTTCCGTCATAAAAGACAATATAAACATGGCCAGCCCCAAAGTGCAGCAGTTAAACACTATGCAAATGAAGCCAGATCCCATATGGCTGATCCTAGTTCAAACCACAGCTCCAATGACTTGAAAAAATGCCCATGCACTTGCATGCATGCCCAGGCTCCTGAAAGAGTGGAAAAACAGAGGGCAAAGGGATTGCTGCATGTCCAGGTCCTGCTGGGGGAAGGGGGAGAGGGGAGACGACAGCAGATGTTTTGCCTCTCTCATGCATGCACATATGCATTCTGAGGGAAATTTTAAAAAGGACAATATTAACAAAAAGAATTGAGGAGAAGAAAAGGTTTACCACACATAAATATTGGGTCATCAGGAAAGTCATGATGCATTTTTGCATAGAAAAATACATCATGACTTTCCTGGCGACCTAATAGACAAAGGTAGTTAATAAGACAATTCCTATAGTTAATAAGACAATGCCTACAGTCCATAGAAAAAATGGGCAAAAGACATTATGCAATTTACAGGAATGAAACATAATTTTGTCTCACTCTTAGAAGAAATAAATTTTAATATTTTAAATAAATAAACTTAAGAAGTACAAACTCATTAATAACTACAACAAATGCAATTAAAAACTATTTTGGTCATCAGAATGACAACAGATTAAAGACTTGTTAAAAGTCAGTGTTGTCCACCGGGCGCGTGTGCGTGCGTGCCCAAGATCCCAGGAGAATGGAGGAGAAGGGATTGCGGCGTGACCATCCCCCCTAGGGGGTGATTTCTCGCTTTCTGTCTCTATGTCTCTCTCTGTCTGGCGAGCGCATGCACCCTATAGCGAAAAAAAACCTCTCCAAAAAAAAAAGTCAGTGTTGTCACACCAGCAGGTGATATGATGGTTAAGGTGCTTGATTCCCACATGGCCCACTGCAGTTCAAGTCCCCAACCTGGCAGCTTGCTTTTTCCCTCTTTCTCCCTCTCTTTGATTTTGAGTGAGTGCATGTGCCCTATAACAAATTTAAAAATAACAATAAAATTAAATAAACAATTCTTTTACTTTTTTTTTTTTTTTTTGAGAGGTTTTTGCTATAGGGCTCGTGCGCTTGCCGAAAAGACAGAAAGCGAGAATTCATCCCCCGCCCCAGGGGAGATGGCCACACCGAAATCCCTTCACTTCCATTCTCCTCTCAGGATCCTGGGCATGCACATACATGTACCCAGTGTGAGTTTAAGCCACTGCGTCTGGGAATCACACTGTGGTCGACCACATGTGAGTCCAGCAACATAGCCATTACGCCGCCTTGCTGGTCTCTAAATAACTCTTTAAAAAAATATGAGTGAATGTTGTCAAAAGAACCAGGCAATCTAACATGCTTCTCATAATAGTTTAAATAGGTACATTCTTATCTGTGAATTCTGTCATTTTTAACCTCTCTACAAGTTCTAATACTGGAAAAAGTATTTTCCACATAATGAATACTATTATATTAACATTCAATTCTCCAAGTATTTCTCAGATTTTTAAGTGTTAGGATACCGTCTGCACCCCTAAAATGAGTGAGCAGATGAACGATTGCAGCAGGGTGGGGAGGGTGTGCAGACTAAGGGGCAGAAAGGAATCTGGGGTGGTTAAGGAGACTTGATTATGATAGTTATATAACTGTATGTTTTTGTCCAAAATCAAAGAACTTTATATTTTTTAAAGAATTATATGAGGACAGCAAATGGAGTAATGGCTACATGACTGGGCTCCCACATAGTCAACCATGGTAAGAGTCCCAGACACAGTGGGTTAAAACTTAAACTGGGTGTGGGTGTGTGTGCCTGCGTGCCCAAAATGCTCAGAGGTAACTGGAGGAGAAGGGATCCTGGCATGGCTGTCCCTTCAGGAGGGTTATTTCTCACTTTCTCTCTTTCTCTGTCTCTCCAGTGACTGCACACCCTAAAGCAAGAATCTCTCTCTCTTACAAAAAAATTACTTAATTATCTTTATTATTGTTATTTATTTTTGAGAGATTTTTGCTATACAACACGTGCACTGGCCAGAGAGACACCAAGAAATCACCACCACCACCACCCCCAGGAGGGATGACCACACTGTGATCCCTTCTCTTCCATTCTCCTCTTGGAATTTGGGCACACCCACACAAGCACCTGGGGAGATTTTCAAGCCACCGGTGGGAGACCCAAACTATAGTCTGCCATGTGGGAGTCCAGCAGAAGTAACCACTATGCCATCTGCTGGCCCCATTTGAAAGTAATTCGAATCTGGAAATGTCAGGGAACCCCATGGGTCCCTGGACCATACTTTGAGAACCTCTGCTTTAGCCTGTACAAGTAAATACCAAATTTTGAATATGGAGCAGTAAGGAAATACACTTCTTTGCAAATCAAGGAAGTAGTGATTATCTGTCGTACATTAATGCAATAAAACTCTCCTTATCAAAATTTCTACCCATCAACGATCTAGAGCGAGCTACAAACTTCAATGTAAATGAAAAGTGTTTCTGAGGCCCAAGGATTTACAAAAACACCAGTAGTCCCTAAGAGAGCTATGGCATCATCCCAGGCCTTCACTCATCAGGTATCTGTAGAAGG